AATAGGGCGGTCAGGGCCGGCTCCCCTGAGGAGGTGATGCTGGCACTTAGGCCTGAAGGATGAGAAACAGCCAGCCTTGGACAAAACTAAGCAAGAGCATTGCAAGCTGAGGAAAGAGCAAGTGCAAAGGCCCGAGGGCTAGAAAGCACTTGCCATATATATAAAAAAAAAAAATCTCAAACATTTTATGATCCAAGCAGTGTGAAAGGAGGTATAGCCTGATTGACAAAGGGTATGACTTCAGGACTTGAGCACAGATGTTCTGATGTATAGACCCAAATCCCATAGGATGGGCATAGTATTCTTACTTAGAGAACCTACATACTCTGTCTTTGATACAGAAATCCCTTCACCAGAGGTTTTAATTGTGGCATCCCTAAAGGTCGGCTCTGACAGCAGCTAGACATCATCCTGCCTGGAGAGAAGGGCCCCAGCTTGGTAAATCTTCCAGCCCCAGTTCCACTGGGCAGCCCAGCCTTCCGTGCCCTGCTGGGAAGTGTCCAGCATGGATAGAGTTGTGGAAACTAGAAAGCCTCTTTTCATGTTTGCCTAATGATGAGAGGAAGAGATGAGATTGTTGCTTTTTCATATCTCTCCCGTGGACTCTTGAAATTAATTCTACCGTCAAGATTTCCCAAGCCCCAAACGTGGGTTTGGGGAGAGAAATGTAAGACTTTGAAGCTGAGAAAGGAAGGAGAGAAAGCGTTCTTCAGACAGATGCTCGACAGGCAGATGTCAGAATCCGCGAGGAGAAAAGTCAGAAGGCACTTGGGGAACCATTTTAGGGAGGAAAAAAAAAAGAACCGGGAGTAGAGACGGCTACTTCAGCTGGGGGGGGGGATAAATAAAATAATAAAAGGTAGTGTTAAAGCTTTGAAAGGAATTTTTTCATTTAAGAGAGATTATGAATAATGAAATGCAAACAGTCTAGTTAATATGTCGGTTAGCTGGTTTATGTTGCCTTCCGGAGAATGAGTGATATGTTCTAAGAGAAGCAGCTTTTCAAGTCACCCGACTTGGCTAGCGAGGGGGTAAGCTCTGAGTTTGTACCCCAGATTCCTTTACCAAACAAACACTGGATATCAGCTGCTCCATGCAAAGCCATATTTATTCCAAGGCCACAAACTTCCTAAGCCTCTGCCGAACCCTTCACAAATGAACCTGACAACACTGAAATTTCTAAGAAGATTTACTCCAGCTGTAGCAAATCCCTAATAATAAAAAATTTCCCCAAATGAGTCAGTCACACAGGAGGTAAATGAGACATTCGGTATGAAGTCAGCATGTCATTTGGAGTGTGTCCTTTATGTAAAAAGCCTAGCCAGAGGACCGTGTGGTTAAGTGGAGCTTGTCCACGGGGCAGAACCAAACCAGGGGGCCGTGGAGGATGGGGGTGGGCGGTGGGGATGGGGTGGGTGGGGTCGGGTGGGGTTGGGCGGGTGGGGTGGCGGTGGGGGGGATGGTGGGGCCGGGTGGGATGGGGTGGGGCCGGGTTGGGGGACTGGGGGTGGGGGCGCTGGGGGATGGGGTGGGGGCAGGGCTCGGCCACGAAGCTATAACTGAGTTGCTTTCCCCTCAAGCAACCCTTATAGGGAAACCCAGTTTTCCTAAGAAGTTCAAGTAAAAGCTGATTATTTGCTTCACAAAAGGATTCACCAGACGAGTCCTTTACCTAACAAACTCAGAGAGAAAATTTATAACATGATTGAATTATATGACCCTCTTCCAAAAATGCATCCCTTTTTTAGAGATGTATGTAGATATGTAAGGATGAATTTGTTGCTGGCTGCATTACCGAAAAAAAAGATATTCATTGAATAAATTGAGGCAGGCTGGCTTGTCACTGTGGCATTTGGTGAGTAGCTTCATCACTGATTCTGTTAATCCCCTAAATTACCCTGTGGGAGATTAGGCACTCAGATAAACCCTCCCACTTCTGCCAAACTAGCCAGTGGGGTGTCAGGGCCTCTCTCTGTCCATCCCAAAGAAATGGGCAACACAAAGACTAGAACTATCTGGTGGTCTTTAAAAACAATTTGTATTGAGTGTAGGCCATGTCCCTGGCATTACCCTAGGGGTTCTGACACAGTGTCTTAGTTTGTCCTCACTCCAGTTCTGTGAGCCAGATGATGATGATGACAGTGATGAATTTATTTCTTCACCTGCTAAATCATGAGAGCTGGATTATTTTTCTCAGTTCTTCTACTTTGAAAAAAACATTCTTAACACAAGCAACTTTTTATGTATTTTTGGCTTATTAAAGAAATGTGGGCTCCTCATAAACAATTCAGATAATAGAAGGGAACAAAGAAGAAAGTAAAAATGACCAATTATCGCACCACCCATATATCTTGCCACTGTTGATATTTTAATGTGTAATCTTTCAGACTTTTCTGCATGTTTATGCAAGGAAATATATGTATTTTCAACATACTTTTAAAAAATTTACTTTTTGAAGTTAATAGTATATCTCGAGCATTTTTCAGTAAAAACGAAAAATCTAGATCTGCAGCACTATTTACTATAGCAACAGAATAGTCCATTTTCTAAATATACCAAAATTGATTGGCCCACCCTACATGGTTGGACTTTCAGACATGATGCTATTTATAAACACACTATCTTCCCACTTTTCATATGCTTTTTTAAAACATATGCACAAAGATGCATATATATCTTTGCACAATCATGTGATTATTTTCTTAGAAAAAATTCCTAGCAGTAGGATTGCTGGATTAAAGACTGTGTGCCTATGAACTTTTGCCACATTTTGCCAAAATGCCTTCAAAAATGTTTGAATAGATTTTCATTCCCACTTATTCTGCACCTTTGCTCTCTTAGAGAAAGTCACTTCTGCGCTACGCCTCATCCCCTTCGCCTCCGAAATGGGTGAGGACACAAGAAATCGCAGTTAACATTTACGAAGCGTGCCTGCCGAGTGCAGACTGTGTACTAACACTTTGTATCGATTATATTCAGTCATTTAAATCTCACAATAATCCCAGGAGAAAGGTTCTAATATCCCTATGTTATTTTTATCTTACCCATTTCTGAGGCTCAAAAGTTTCACTAACTTGCCTGAGGGCACCCAGCTAAAAAGTGGCCAAGCTGGGATCCAAATCCAGCTCTGTTTGCTTCTGGGAATTGAGACTCCCCCGCCTAGGGCCCCCCCCATTTCCCCGTGCAGGTGAGCGCGGTGTCGTGTGATTATTGCACACAGGTGGCACAGCCTTGCGACCTTTGCAGACACTGCCAGGGCATCACTGTCGCTCAGTAGAACAGGACTGTCCGGCAACGCTTGCCTCAGCGTGGAGATAGCAAGGAGGGGTTTTCCAGAAGGTCTGGGGAGTTTCCCCTGAGAATGAACTAAGCACTTTTTCACTGTTGGTTTTTTTTTTTTTTTTTTTTTTGGACGTGAATAAGCATGCTTTCAAAGTCAGCACCATCTCCTATGCTGAAATCACAGACCTAACAGATTCCCCCACTCCCATGGGCTTCTCAGTCTGTGGCCATCTCTGCAGAGCTCCTGGGGGGGGGGGGAACTACTATCTTAACTTCTCCAGACTCTAAACCAGCTTCTGTGGTTCTTTTGACTGTAGGAGTCCAGCCTGTGGGGTCTAAGAAAGAACTAATCCTGGTCCACTGTTTCATATACTTCCTCTAGAGCTCTACAGTTTGGAAGTGGCTGAGCAATATGGCTCCTGGGGGCTGAAGTGAGGCCTCCGCAGCTCACACCAGCCCCTTCTGCAGGCAGCCAGCAGCCCCAGACCTTGGGGGTGACATGAGCCGGCCGGCACATCCCAGAGAAGGGGGACTTCCCAACCCTCTCTTTACCCACAGGGAAGAGATTTCTTATGTGTTAGTAACAGGTTGATGCAAAATAAATAAACAGAGAGGGAGGGAGAGGGAGATGGATGGTTTCAGTAAATAATGGTGCAGCGGCCAGCAATTTGAAGGGAGCTGGTGGGAAGGAGGTTTCCCACCTAAGCAGTTGTGACAGGAGTATTAACTGGGAGCCCAGAGAGGGAGCACCAACACAGCACCGTGAGGATTGCCAGAGCACATACCGAAGCTGAAAAATGTGTGTCTGTCAAGATAAAACTGTGCATTATGTGTGCACCGTGCCATGAACCTAGCCTAGGCTGTCTCGGAGGTGCCCTCCCCCCACCCCCAGCCAGTTTGACTCTGCTTAAAGTGAGCACAGCCTCAGCTTCGGAAGGGCAGCCCGCTCCACCTCTTGCTGAGCTAATAGTTGTGTGTGCGTAGACACTGGGTCCCTGGAGACTCAGCCCCTGCTTTTGGAGAAAGGTTTTTATTGCCTTATCTAATATGATGCTGATTCCTTTCAAAAAACGTGCATTGACTAGACACTGCTGATGTGAACTTCGCAGAGTCATCTCAGGGAGGGAGGTGATGGGGAGACTTTGTCACTAACAATTAAAAAGAGGATGGCCCAGGAAAAAAACTGAAACAGGAGTGGGAGGGAAACAGGAAAATAAACAACATCTCTGAGACATCTCCAGTGGGGCTGGCAGGGTTCCTAGTGCCCTATGTGTTTTCATCCCATCTCCTTCCCAGCCTTCTGGAGTAGATATGTTGATCCTTGCCCTACAGATGGAGAAATTGGTGCTCAAAGGGGCGCTCTGTGTCTTGCAATGACACAGAGCAAGAAGGAGAGGCTGAGATTCTGAGAGATCATAATGGAAATGAAAATGGTGCTACCAAAGGGGGAAAAAATGTCTGTTTTGCGCATGAGGCTACTGCTCTTACGTGGGCAGGAGATAAGGCCTTCCAGCTCATTCTCTCTGTGGCTTTTACAAAGCACAGCAACTTCCTGCGTCTCTGTTTGCCAGTCTGTGCAAGCAGACATAAGTGCCCTTTATCTGTCCGAAACACCTGAATTGTGTAAATGAATGGAGAGAGACATGAGTTGGAGCGAGACAATGGTCTGTCTCGTGTCCTTGTAGTGATCTTTTCTTGTCTGTGCCATCCCCACCCAGGTATGACTTCATTGAGATTCGGGATGGGGACAGTGAATCTGCAGACCTCCTGGGCAAGCACTGTGGGAACATCGCCCCGCCCACCATCATCTCCTCGGGCTCCATGCTCTACATCAAGTTCACCTCCGACTACGCCCGGCAGGGAGCAGGCTTCTCCCTGCGCTACGAGATCTTCAAGACAGGTCAGTGTGGCCCCGGGCGGGGCTGGGAGCTGGGCACTGCAGAGAAGAAGGGCGGACAGCAGCCCGGTGGGTTGGGACAGGTGGTAAGAGTCACAGTTTCATCTGGTGGAGATTGGCGAGAGGTTCAGGGTGAGCATGGGGACACCCCTAGAAGAGCCAGGTTCAGGTTATCATCCAACTGGAGGGGCCAGAGTGGGGGCACCAAATAAACAGAAAAACACTTTTTGAAAGAATCTGATTTTTGTGCATTTTTAAAAATCAAAGTAATTTTCATGGGAAAAAGCAAAACTCAGTTGAACTTCCCACCATTTACTTCATGGTTTAATGTTGCCTTTATTTGGAAATACATGGGACTGAGGACATAATCTTTTCATTGCTTAGAGTCTTAAAGATCTCACCATGACCCCCCAAATGAGGTCACACCATAACTCTTAAAGTAAAATAAGGCTCCTAGAAATTCCCTTTGGCAAGCCATAACCCGACTTCCCAAGTGCCAAGAAACTGACACCCTGAAAAGCAATGAGAAAGAGAGCAGAGAGGCAAGGAACACAGCACGTGTGTTAGGTTGACTGCTTGATTTCCATTAGGTCCCCCTTAGATAACTGTAGTCCCGGAGAACATGGGCAAGCACGTTTCCATAACTGGGTACAGCAGACGTTTGTTCCTCCTCTCCCAGGCATGGGGCTCCTTATCTCCAGGCTAAGGGAGGTGTCGCCTCCATTCTCCCCTCCCCCACCCCATCCCCACCTCCATCTACGAGCGAGCGAGCGAGCGTGTGTCTCCAGCAGCCTGAGTTTTACAACTCACGGATGGAGTCTGGTTCAAGGGGAGGCTGTCAGCCTTGTCATCGAGAGGCCCGGGACCGGCGCCCGTCGGGTTCAGTGTGAGGGGAACTATTCATATATATTTTCTTTTTCACTAAACAGTTCTTGAAAGGAAGTGGTAGCTGCTGAAAGCACTTTTTATATCCACTCTGTCTAAATATTTGTCGGATTTGTCTGCCTGAGAACAAGAACGTGGCATGAGCTGCGGGGTGGGCCCAGGGAGCTGTGTTGTGCCAGAGCGGGCGTCCGAGCTGTCACAGGGTACGAGTCCCAGGAAGGTCCGTCTGCCTCGGGTTTCCATGCTCCTGACCACGGTGAGGTCACAGGGACTGACAGTCTGTGTGTCCGGTGGCTCGAGCTGGTGTGAGGCCCCCGAACAGCTTGATGCACGTTCCCTGGAGCCCGTGCGAGCTGCAGGTCAATGCCACCAGCACTGATGGAACACCCTCCGCCGCCCAGCAGTGGGGGGAATAAAAGAGAAAGGAATAAAACAGGGTGTCTGCCGTCTCCTGGTTGGAGAGACAGGTGTGTGATCCCTCAGCACATAACAGGCACAGTCGATGTTGCTGGACGAATGTGTATGGAAATTGAAAGGAAAACTATACTATGAGGCAGAATGAGTAAGTGCTAAGTAAAGGTGCAGCACGCAGACGTGCTGTGGTTATGAAAATGAGGAAGCAATTGAGTGGCTCTGAAGACTCTATCAGGTAGCAAGGTCCCTAGTGCTAAAGCTGTCACTCGATTCCACTGTGCTGAGCATGAAAGGAAAACAGCTCCCAGCAAGGTCTTCCAGGGAGCTGGCCCAGGGACATCAGAGCAAGGGTGAGCAGAGCCATTAGAGCTCACCTGTGGTCTCCCACCTCCATGCTTAGTATTTCACAATGCACGATGCCACAGTCCCCAGAAGGCCACGGGAAAGGTGAATGTTCACTGTACCCAGTATGCAAATTTGAAAGAAGGATACAAGGCTATTAAAAGATGAGACATACAGGAAGGTAGCATAATTCAGCATTGCTGTCCTGAGGACATGCTGAAGAAGGATTTGGAATGAGACAGCAAGTCTGGGGACTGTCCAGAGACCATGGTGCTCATCAAGGAAGCTGGGTGGCTTGGGCTTGGAGAAATGGGGCTTCCTGGGTTAAGGATCAGGGTGGCCTGTGGAAGGGATTGCCACAATGAGGACAGCCCTGCCAACAGCAGCCTCGCTCCCGGGAACGTGAGAGAAGGTGAGAGCCCAGTAGCCTTCTCGGGCCCACGCACGCCTGCCGTCGCACCCATCCCGAAGAGCAACTCTCAACACCAAGGTCAACCCCATATAAAACACAGAAATGTGTGGGGCTGCAAAATTCAAAACTGAGAAGTTTTTAAAAAGACAAGCGTTCTTGCAGGTGCCGTGTCCTATACCCACACTTCCATTGTTGCAGTCCTGAGAGAAAATACACAAATCTACGTCATTCACAGAACATGAAAGGAGTGGGTGGACATGCTGAAGAAATCCAAACAAACACAGCTATGTTTGCTAGTCGGATTCATAAAGAGGAAGAAGGAGGAAACTGTAAACACAGACACGCAAATAGCAGTACAGAGGGCTCTGCAAGCCTTCAACAGCGCATTGCCCTGGCGGGGCTCGGCTGTAGAACCCCCCATGCGGGCGCTGACCAGGGGCGGGTGGCCTCAGTAGAAGGTTCATGTCTGCCCTAAGTGAAACAGTTTATAAAGGATTCTATGTGTCCACATATCAAAGGGTAAGCCCAGACAACTCACTAACTTAAAAGATCTCAATAATCACCAAATCCTGAGCAGAACAGAAAAGGGATTTTTTTTTTTTTTGAGACAGAGTCTCACTTTGTTGCCCAGGCTAGAGCGAGTGGCATGGTGTCAGCCTTGCTCAGAGCAACCTCAGACACCTGGGCTCAAGAGATCCTACTGCCTCAGCCTCCCGAGCAGCTGGGACTACAGGCATGCGCCACCATGCCCGGCTAATTTTTTGTATATATATTTTTAGTTGGTCAATTGATTTCTTTCTATTTTTAGTAGAGACAGGGTCTCGCTCAGGGTGGTTTCGAACTCCTGACCTTGAGCAATCCGCCCGTCTCGGCCTCCCAGAGTGCTAGGATTACAGGCGTGAGCCACCACTCCTGGCCAGAAAAAGGATTTTTTAAGCTTAAAAAAGTAACATCGGAAACAAAATCAGTGGAAAATGTGTGTGTGTGTTGTTAATGTTGTTGTTTTCCCCCCTGATGCTCCTTTGTCCAAAGTTCAAGATCAAGTTTTCTTCCTGTTTGCCCAGTGACATTTCTGAAACTGAAATTTCTGGAGTCATTCACAGGTAGAGAAAACCTGGAGCGCTCACTATCTATATCCCCTGAATTAAGGAACTGAATTCGCCTTCTGTGGTCAAGGAAAGCTCAGCTTTGGAGAAATCCGCCATGTTTTAAATATCTTCATATATGTAGATTCTTCTTCTACTTATAGTTATTATAAAATTCACAGTAGAAAACCACAGAGTGGGCAGTTTTCATACCAGAGTCCTTTGGTATGAAATCACTCACTGTAACCAAAATCTCCAGCTTCTATAGACAATCTTAGCATTGAGTGGACTTGACTATTTATTGCCTGAGTTACTTCTAAAACTTTAATCCTTTTAACACATCGCAGAAAAAGATGTTGGATTAGGTAGATATTTCCAAGAGTCAACTATTGTCTCCTTTTCTGAGATCTCTTCTCAGCATTTGATATTCAGTTGCCTTTCTGATGCTTTGACCATGATGCACACAGTGAGATGGTGAAATTAGACACAAACACATGATTTTAATAGACAGTTTGGATTTTTCTACATAAAAAAAGATAAAACTAGATGAAAGTTTTCCCACCTCATTCAAAATAAGCCAGAGGATATATCCATCTATAGCCATATAGCAAAATGTATACTTTTTTTTTTTTTTTTTTGCCTTAAGAACCTAAGGTTGAAAAATTCTTTCCAGTTGAATGCTCAGGGCCCTGGAAACTGTGGATTCTGACACTCGCATTCTCCAGGTCTCTCTCAGATGCGCTAGATGTCCGTCTTGGAAGCACTTGTGCCCCACCTATGAGAGAGACCAAAGAAAAATTCCGCCACAAATTCCCCACTGCTCGTGGTGGGGCTTCTCCTGGGCTTCTAAGGGAATGACAATAGCGTAGACTCTAAGAGGAATGTCAGGATGCCCTTTCTAGCTCTGGAGCATGTTGTGAATAGAGAGTTAATTTCCTCCCAGCTGTGTGCAAGGCTCAGCTAAGTGGCCCACATGAAGAAGGCTGCACAGCAGCCATAAACTCTACCCTTTTCAAAATTCCTCTTGGCCCCCTGAAGACCTGCCAGCTGGCCTGGTTTTGCTGAATTGCATCATGCCGGGCCATTGAGGAGGCCCTCAGGAGTTTGCAGCCCGATGGTAAACAAAGCTGGGGAGGCAGCTCCAGCTCAACCCTCGCTCTGGGCCAGCCCTGCCACTGCCATGCCTCTGAAGGACCGGGTGCAGAGCGCCATGCTCAGAGCCTCCAAAGAACCCATGGAAAGGTTAGCACTTGCCCTCGTGGGCCCCGGGTCCCCACCCTGCCAAGGCACAGCATAAGGCAGAAGCGAGGAGGTGATGGTTGTTCAGGTAGGAGGTGCTGGAGTTTCCAGTCTGGTGCTGAAGAAAGTTGTAAACCCCCACGCCCACTTATTTGCATGGCACCTTTTCCAAGTCAGACATCTCGCTGCTTTGCAGAAAGCAGCCCTCAATAAAGAGACTCGCCTCGGCCGGCCGCTACAGGAGTCCTGGATAAAGACATCGCTGCGGGCTAAGATCTGCGTATTGACATCACCTAGTTACATTTCAGTGCGATCCCCGGAGGACACTTCCTGCCAGTAAACACTTGGTTTATCAAGTATTTCTGTGGGTTTTTTTTTTCTTTCGTGCTTAGAGTTTCTATTATCTTCTTCATAAATCCTGCTTCCTTTTCTTATTTTAAAATTTGAACGTAGTGAATGAAATCAGCTCTAAATGTCCAGCATTTGCATCCACCAAGTTAACTTGCACCAGTTCTTGCTCTATGCGTATGCATGGGTTGGCGGGTCTGGGTCCCGGGACCCATCAGTGGCGCTGCCCTGGCAAGTGGTGGCCGGGTTCATGTGACTCCACCTGGAGGCGTTAGGAGATAGGGTGGCTCTGACCCTCTTACGAGCTCCTGCTGCCGTCCAAGCTCACACCAGGATGGGAATCTGTGCCGCACTTAATCAGGATGCCTCCCTGCGTCCCAAGAAAACAGACTCGAGAGCTCAGGAGAGAAACAAGGCCATCCTCACCACAAAGGAACCAGAAGCCTTCCAAATGTCAGTGCACTGCTGCATTTTTCCAAACTTGCTGCCGGAGCGGCCTTTAACATCCCCAACGCCCTGCTGTGATCCACCAGCTAAAAACATCGATTGTTAATTGTCCGACCACTACAGAGCAGCTCGTTTTAATATAGTCATGACATGAATGAGACCCGAGCTCCCCTTTGCCCCTCCCCTGAGGCACCTTGGATCTTGGAGGCAGAAGGCGGCACTTAGTTGGCTGTGGTACAATAGGGGCTAGTGTTGAGGTCAGCAGTAAATAAGGGGTAACATTGTTTTCCCTGCTGGCAATCAGCAAGCCTTCCTTAAGGATTGAAATAACTTACATTTCTGGAACGAGCAGCTGAGTAATTGAGAAAGAAGACTCTGTTCCTCTTTTCAAGAGAATCTCCCTCTCTCCCTCTCTCTCTCTCTCTGTCTCACACACACACACACACACACACATTCACATACACCCTTCTGTCCACCTCCACCCCCCAATTCCTCAATTGCTCCTCTCACTCTAATACGCAGAACAAGCCAGTTGTGCCCCTCTAATTTCTGTCCTAAAGGGGGACTGGCTTGAGGGCTTGAAACGTGCATGTGAAGAGCATGTTGCTTCAAGAGCCACTCCAGTGGAAACAAAAACCTTGCGGGCAAGGGGATTTGGGCCCAAACATTTAAATAACCCATGTGACAGAGGCAGCAAAGAAAGGCATCTTCTTCTTGATGCCACGGTTCTCTTTTACATGCAGGCTCTGAAGATTGTTCAAAAAACTTCACAAGCCCCAACGGGACGATCGAATCCCCCGGGTTTCCCGAGAAGTACCCACACAACTTGGACTGCACCTTTACCATCCTGGCCAAGCCCAAGATGGAGATCATCCTGCAGTTCCTGACCTTCGACCTGGAGCATGACCCTTTGCAGGTGGGCGAGGGGGACTGCAAGTACGACTGGCTGGACATCTGGGATGGCATTCCAAATGGTGAGTGACGCCACGTTGTGAGGTGTTCCTCCGTGGCTGGGCCTTTGCCTGCTAATTGCTTTGGTGGTGATAAAAAGGCAGAACAAAGAGTTCAAAGCTCCTTAGAGTTCTTGCACGACCCACGATGACTTTCTCTTCTTTTCCTTCACCAAAGATGGTTTGAGAGAAATTACAGAAAGGCAGTCTACTTTCTTGGACATATTTCTTTGGAAAAGGATAGGATACTACGCATTAATAGGTACTTGGAAGAGGATGAGAAAGCCTATAGGTGATATTCTTTTCCACTCCAAGTTGTCAGGAAAGAAAGTGATTCAGTGGCCAAGCCCCAGGACCAAATGCAAGGACTCCTGAGCCAGACTGGGCTCGAGTCTTGGCTCTGCTACTTGCCTCCACCGTGCAACCTTGGACAAGTTACTCAACTTGTCTGTGCCTCATCTATATAAGTTAGCTGCTATCATCATTATTATTGCTATGATATTATTAACATAGTCTTAGATGTTGAAAAGGTGCATCATGGAAGGCCAAGCGAGACCTGTACTTCTCAGGTGAAGACCAACATAGATCTCGAGTATGGTCGGTATTGGTGTCCAAGAGCAAACAAATGTTTCACTTTTGTAGTCATTCTACAAAATTGTAGTCATTCTCCCAATGTAAGGGAGACTTGGTGGCTGAGCAAGAAGACCAATTTCATGTCCTGGGAAAAGCATAAGTGTTAGTCAGAAAACTTGAGTTAAGCAGTATGAACAAGGAAGTCACGTGACTTCTCCAGACCTCCGTCTCTTCTTCTATAGAGCAGGTATCCTAATGATACCTTTCCAGCCCGCCTCCCAGGGCTGTGACAACAGGGTGAAGCCAGTGAAAGTGGCTTGTGCTTTTTCATTAGAAACTAAAAGTGCTTTTAAATGTACAGGAAAAATATGAGACTTTATTCTTAAACCCTTCTTTGGGTCTTTGGTTTTATGCCAAGGCGCACAGGGGATGCTCCACTGAATGGCCTGCGGTGGTGGGAAGGGCGAGTTTGTTGAAAACCAAGTTTGACATTTTTGTTTCCTCTGACCTCTCTTTGTCCTGCGTGCCCAGTTGGCCCCCTGATTGGCAAGTACTGTGGAACCAAAACGCCCTCTGAACTCCGTTCGTCGACGGGGATCCTCTCCCTGACCTTTCACACGGACATGGCTGTGGCCAAAGATGGCTTCTCTGCACGTTACTACCTGGTCCATCAAGAGCCACTAGAGAGTGAGTGGGCCCCTTGGGAACTGCTCTCCTGTCCTTGCATCTGGGCTGTCAGGGTGGACAGGTGAAGAGAAGCTGACCTGTGAGAGAGAAGGAGAGGGAAAAATTACTAAATTCGTGCTGGCACTGGGGTTCAAGGAATGGGGGCTGCATCCTCTTGCCAGGCAGAGATTAAGGAGAAGAGAACATGGGTCAATCTGGGTGCTTATTTCTTTAAAGAAAAAAGTGTGTGTGTGTGTGTGTGTGTGTGTGTGTATACCAAGAATTAGTTATTCCCAGGGAAAGTCATGGGACCATCTCCCGTCTCAGTTTCCTCATCTATGAATGAAAGGGAAGTTAGTTAAAATGATCTGTACAGGGTCCCTCTCATGCTAACACTTTTTGAGTCTGGGGCCATTTTCCCCTCTCTAAATCTGAGGTTATTGCATCAAAACTGAGCCATTTAAAATTTCTCTTTATATATCTTTTTTGACTCTAAACATCTCTGGCCCTAGATAGAGTGTCCCTGGCTAGATTGCTACAACTGCTTGAACTTTCCCTCCACACTCCCAATAAAGATAGTTTTTGGAGCTTCTGCAGTATGCCAGGCACTGAGCAAAGCATTATAAACTGTCGCTCTGACCCTAGCTGTCACGGAGCTTGCGGTCTAGGCCATCAGTCTTTCAACCGCGGGCTCTGTCTGCAAGTCAGCTGCTCTTGGACATGTGCTGCAAATGTGCTACCATTTCCACTTAGAAACCCAAACAATAACACTAAGGACTAAAGAAGCACTTCAACAACAATTAGGGCCGAGGCAATCCTGCCATGGTTGTAGACAGCTCGCCACGTAGATAGCTACAGGCATGGCAGCCTGGCCTGCAGGAACGTCTCTGGGTTTTCTTATAGGTTAAAACCATCAAAGAGCTCGTAAAGATTGGGCAGCTGGTACCAGGTCATGCAAATGGCCAGCACAACCACAGAGCTAAAGAACAGGTTCGATGCCTGAAAGAGATCACTGGTCCATATCACACACACACACAAACACATACAAATATTGATCAGTGTCTATGGTGCCCACAAGAAGGACAGCAATTTAACTGATGGCATGAGGCCAGAGTGAATGACTTCTGGGTCTATTTGCCCAGACAGGTGGCACAGAGGAACATAAAGTGACATGAATGTGCTTATAGAGAGGTCTCCCAAAGACAGGTATTTATGCTTTGTAATGTCTGTCTTCTGTGCCAGCACTCACGAGACAGCCGAGTGAAAGAAGGAAGCAAAAGTGCCTCCTGGGTGTTTATTAATAAAGCAGGCTTCCCACGTGCATCAGCCCACCCAAATTGCCACGAGTTTCTCGCCCGTTTGCCTGTATTGCAATCATGGTGCATCTGGCGTCCGTGAGCATCTGTAGCCTGCAGCAGTAACAGTTCTTGTGCTTTAGATTGTATTTTTAATTTGTATGATGATTCTTATTTATCCACAACCTGATTTCTTATAGGTCCAATTTCGTTTCTTTCAGACCCAGAGGGGTTGTCAAGCTCCATGACTTGGTGTAGTTGTTTTTAAAACGAGAGCATATAATTAGGGTCTTTAAGATGAGGGCGTGCCTGTAAGGACTTGTCCCCAGAAGGGAGCAGTGTTGGGAGGGTCCCAGGGGCTTGAGGTCGAGAGGCCTGACTCTGCCCTTCCCCATCTGCATTCCCCAGACTTCCAGTGCAATGTCCCTCTGGGAATGGAGTCCGGCCGGATCGCTAATGAACAGATCAGTGCCTCATCTAGCTACTCCGATCGGAGGTGGACCCCTCAACAAGGCCGGCTCCATGGCGATGACAATGCCTGGACCCCCAACTTGGATTCCAACAAGGAGTATCTCCAGGTACTTGCTCAGATACCAGAGAGCGTGCAGAGTGTGGGCGGGGGGAGGGCAGGGAGGTGGCTCCTCAGATAGAGGGGACAAAGGACACGAAGAAAATAAATGCAGCATACTGGAGAACTCCATTCATTCATCTGAACAACTATGTATACCAGGCACAAACAGACTGTGCCAGGGCCTGGGCTACATGCTGGGGTACACTGATGAGTAAGAGGGGCCCTGTGCCTGCCCTCGTGGAAGTGACCAGGCCTGGGAGAAGTTGTTTGGCTAGGATGGTGTGTGCCCTATCATCATAGATATCCAAGGAACATTCTGTAAGCAGTTCAGTTCTTCCTCATACTTGGCACAGGGAGTCATCATAGACTGGGGCAGTGGGAGGGGGGGTTCCTAAGCAAGTTTGTTGAGGGGCTGGCTGAGTGTGGCAGCTTCTCCTGATCTTTGCTATCTGGAGAGAGCCCTGCCAGGAAGGTTTTGCACATAGCTATCAGCAGAACACATGGGAAAATGTCACTACCGGGAATGCGCTGCAGCATCTTTTCAGACTATTGTTTGCTTTCTTTCTGAGTTAAGACTTGCAGCTCATGTTGAGTAATCTTCCCACACTGCAGACCGGTTCTGTCCTCATCCCCTGGGAAGAAGTAAACAGGGGAGGAGCACGCTGCTAGCTCCATTCTGGAGCAATGCTGCTTTTACGACACACGAAAGACAGCCCTGTGACCCATTGACAAGCTTGTCCTGGCTCTGATGCGACACAGTGACCTGTGCCCTAAGAAGGACGTTGCAGAGCAGGCAACAGGAAAGGGAGAAAGACTTAGAAACTCCAGAGAGTCCACAGGGCTTCTAACAGCACAAGCCGAAGGCCATTTGTCACTGTCTCTCCTCTCTGCCTCTCCAGAAATCCTTCCCATCCTGCAAAGCTTCCAGAAAGTGTTCCTTTATAATTGGCATTCCATTTTGTGGTCCTTAATCATATACTTTCTCCTGTCACCATCCACCTGTTTCTCATACACACAGACGGCATTGCATACTTACTCAAATGTTTGATAATGTTGAGCACATATTAAGTAGCCAATAAGCGCTTGCTGAATTGAATTTTACCAGCGTGTGCTGACTAAATTTTGGTCACATGGAGATTGCCATTAAGAAACACTATGGCCAGCAAAGGAATGACATCCAGCAATTTCCAAATGAGTTTGGCGTTGTGGGAGAGGAGGTCCCTCAAAATGCTGGCCGTCCTCCTCACAGAGCAAAAGGTCAGGACTTGGTGCATAAGCCTAATTGCTTGGGCAGACTCTGTATGCCCTTTGACCCCTTAGTGACCTGAGTGACTAAATACACAATGGAACATGGGGGTGGGGAAGGGAGACAGCTATGAGCTGTGACTTTTGCAGCCAGGGCATTATAAGTGAATTGGATTGAATTGAATTGAATTGGACTGGAGTGGGGTGGATTTATTTAGCCTATTCCTTTAAAACACCATCTGCTTTCATGATCCAAGGCAGGCCATAGTTTAGTAAGGAGAGATTGTAGTTCTAGATGTTCAATGATTATTCTAAGAAAAACTGAATACTGTCTGTTCAGATTTGCAGAAAAAGGAAAAAAAAATCAAGTTACATTTTCAAGATGTCTGATTCAGTGTCAGATAAGTTGAGCTTAACTATCCAGTGAAATTGCAGATTTATACAAGTTACAAATACATCTCAGGGAGTCAGGCACAGGATGCGAGCAGAGTCTAATGACTGTGTTCTTTGAAGTAAACGCAAGACTCTGCCCCGTGTGGCGAGTGGTGGTCCCTGACTCCTGCCCTCTCTTCCTCCCCAGGTGGACCTGCGCTTCCTAACCGTGCTCACGGCCATTGCCACGCAGGGAGCGATTTCCAGGGAGACCCAGAACGGCTACTATGTCAAATCCTACAAGCTGGAAGTCAGTACTAATGGCGAAGACTGGATGGTGTACCGGCACGGCAAAAACCACAAGGTAAACCCAGGTCCCCACCTCAGAGGCACGCCGGGCTCATTCCCGGGACGAGAGGAGCTTCAAGCCAACCCCACTCGAGGGAGAGGGCCTGTGTAGTGAGGCTCACATAACTGATGGAGGCCAGGGACATGCTGGCCCCGAAAATCTTCTTTCTTACGCCTAAGTGATTGGAAAGCACCGTTTCTCCGACAGCCTGGCTGCTGTTGTAACCTGCCCAGCAGAGAGAGAGAGAGAGAGAGAGAGCGAGCTTGCAGGGTGTTCTCTGACTTCAAATGAAGGAGAAAATGCATTCGCTGCCCGTGTCTCCCCACACTGGATTCACTGAGCATTTATGGCCTGAGTCCCTTCCACATGCTGGGTTAACAATCACAAAACCACATGAAACCACAGTTCAGGAGTTACCGGGGTCTGGAAATGAAAGGGCACAAATCCTGAGAGGGAATCACAATGTCCCAGAGAAGAAAAGAGGACAATAAATAACGAGGAGAAATTCGGGTTGTCGGGGATGGGATCTGAACCGGCAATCATGCTTCGCAGCGAGGCATCGAATTCTCTCGGCTGGGGCCTGGGTGTGCGCGGCTCCCGGAGGTGTGGTCCGCGTGGGTGATGTAGGCTTTTGTTGTATACATATGGATGAATGTCTGGCACTCGGCTTTCCTAAGACACATGGCATTCTGGGTTGGCAGCTTGTACGTACTGCTTGTGCGGCGCACTCAGCGTATGGGGGTCGTGCCTGGGTGGGAGGCATGGGTCTCTCCTCTGTAGTGCTGCAGCTGCACCAGGCCCTGGCCTGTTGGGGTGGGAGTTATCAAAATGGGGTGCATGTGGGCAAGCCCAGAGAGGCCACAGATCTTTTACAAGGAAAACCTCCTCAGCCCCTGTCACTGCCTCAAGTAGTTTTCTTTTGCTGGTGCCGCTGGAAGGCTTGGACCTAGAAAATCCTCAACTATAATATTGGCAGTCTCCCTTGGGAAATGTGAGTTTTTAAAGGAGTGGGTTTTTTAAAAATCAAAATCGCCATAGTAACATGGCACCATTCATCAGAAAATCATACTTCTAGATATTACCAGGTATCTCTCTCTTTGTCTCACTCTCTCACACACACACAAAACTACTCTATTTCCCCCAAAAAGAAAGCAAGGCACTTAGCAATTGAAAGACATCCCACCTCGACTCATCCGGCCAGGTCTGGCCTCCCATTGAGTCGGTCTCAGGAAGAATTACCAAATGGCAAGCCCCACGGGCACTGGATGCTGGGAGTGCCGGGCACCGACTTCTCATCACACTCGACCCATTTCAGTAAAAGAAGCTGGTAGCTCCCAGAAGCTCTGCCTGCAGGCGAGGCAGGTCCCAGGGGACGGGAAAGAGGCTCACCTGACTGTCTCCTTGTCCAGGCACAATGACTAAGCAGCACTGACCAGGGGGATACTGTAGCATAAGCTGATTTTAAAAGCACACAGATGGACTGGGAAGCCATTTAAAACACCATTTGTAGTAAATCTGCTTTTGGAAATACCTTAGCACTGCACATTTTGATAGAATGCTGTCCTCCCTGGCTTTATCCCTGGTATACATTCTGCAGGGAAGATATTCCTGAGAATTGAATTTAGCTTTCTGGTCTTCAGAATCATTCTTCTCAACTTTTTCATAGTAGATATTCTCTCTCTCTCTCTCTCTCTCTCTCTCTCTCTCTCTTTTTCTCTCTCTCTCTTTTTCTCTCTCTCTCTCTTTCTCTTTTGCCTCCTCTTCCGACCCTTGGCTAAATTTCTTTCCCCAGTAGCCAAGGGGTAACTTGGGGTTTTGTTTTTGTTTTAGTGAATCAGTCCTGCCCAAATAAAGGAATCTGGGGCAGAGGAAAAGCCCTTTCTCTCCCCATTAGAAATTCATCCTTTGGGTACTTAGAAGCAGACAGGAGAATGGAAAGCCTGCCAATTAGGCACTGCCCCGCTCCCCGGCTCCCCCGCCCCACTGCGGGTGTGGTGGGCAGCCGGGGGCCTTCCTCGTCTCCCCTGCAGGGGTGACCTGGCAGCCCCTTCATCAGCCGGTCCCGCTCCCAGATACCTGTAGTTACTGTGCAGTGTCCACCCGGTGCGTGGTGCGTCCGTGCAGCTCTCTGGGCTGTTGAGGTGGAAACAGTTGAGTGAACGGTGCCAAATAGATTTGTCAAGTCTGCTGCAGTTTGATTTGATGCCACGAGGGGCAGGTGGGGTGAGGAGGGAACTTGGGGGCAGTTGGGGGAGAGGTTTCGCCCACACCGGGTGCTACCGCTGAGTTTCTTTGTAGCTGGCGGGTGACGGGCACTGTGCCAAGCCAGCTAGTGCTCAGTGGTGGGCTTGAAAGTGAAATCCAGACAACAGGACCTAGTGGAACAGCAACGCAGAGATGAAGGCGGCAGCCTGCTCTGCTCTGTGGTGGTGCAGGGGAGCGTCTGCAAACTCCTTTCCGATGAGCAGGGAGGGAAGTGTGGGGGTTGTGGCATTTGGGGCAGAAATGTGGGAACTTGATTTCGATTCCCTGGTCACTGTCAACACCAATGCAGTGTACCAAAGACCAGGGAATTGGGGAAATGAGAGAACAGCAAGATTAATGAGCACTCAGGGTGGTAGGGCAGGGCGGCGCTATGTCTTTGCAAGAAGCTGTTCACAGTTTGGACCCAGGTTGGGCTGAGGCAAGGCCTGTGAAGGAATGACCTCCTCTTGCTGCCAGGAGGTGAGGAAGACTAAGGAGCTCTTTTCCAGCCTTCCCCACGCAGTGAGCAGCCTCTTCTTAGTTTCTTTCCATCCAACAGGTAATCACGAGGTTGCCTACGAGGAAGCCCCCTCCTGGCCCAGTACATCCTGGTTACACGGACCACAAGCACAGCACACCCCCAAATGCGTGCCCAACTGCACATGCCATAAATGTGGAACCTATGATTTTCATACAGGGCGGGCCCTCCTTATGCATATTTATGGCTTAACCACAAGGCAGAGAGCTCGTCCGCCTGATGGAACCCATATTCAACCCTTGCACTCCCTTGGATTATACAAATTGCTTCACATACATTTCTTCAGAAACCACAGTCATAAACTACTGCTTTTGCTCTTCCCAGCTGGATTAGTAACACCCCAAATGCAGACATAGCATTGCCAATGCAACAGTACACGCTTCACACGTGTGTGCATAATTATAGGGACAGTTAGGTATACACACACACACACACCGCAAGAGGTGTGTGGAGCTCAAAGGCATAAGGCCTTGGTCAAGATCCTGTCCTCTGAGAAGCTGATTCCACGGGTCAGCACCGGAAGGGTCGGCTGCACTGAGGAATGGAGCAATGACTGGTGGCCGGATGGGACAGAGGCCATTGCCCTAACGTATCTAAGCAAAAGCCCTTATCTTCAATTCTGCCTCGTTTGGTAAATGTGGGTGTCTCTCTTGTTAACCAGAGTAACTCTCCACATTAACTCTGGTTAACTTGCTCTTAGTCGCAGCGTCGCTGTGCTGTGCTGATGGATTTGGAAGAAATCTGGGCTAAAAGAGAGTCTGTGGGGGTGCCAACTACCCTCCGATGGCCAGAGGGAGGACAGAAGGGTGGGGACAGTGCTGAGGTAAGGCTTGGGTCCAGGAGTTTTCAGAATTACCCTCTAATAAGTGGCAGAAGTGGCAGGAATGCACTAAGTTCATCCTATTAATGTAACGATGACCTCCAAGGGACTCAGAAAAGCCTCAGGCGGCTGCTCGTTTGCTTCAGAATTTCACAGTGTTTTGCACAGACTGTAGAACTGAAGCTCTCAGAGACGAAGTAACTTGCACCAGGGACTGGGGAACCATGGAGTCCCCTTGACAGGAGCCTGGTGGCCAGGCTTGAATTTCCAGGCTGGTACTCCCAGCAGTCTGACCTCAGACTTGCTCCCCATCTTGCATCCAGAGGGAAATTGGCTTGAGGTGTGCGTTTTCCTGGAGAGCCTCCGCTCCAGGGGAGGTCCGAACGCAAGCCGGGCTTGGGATACGCCACGGAACTGTGAGCATAGAGAGTTGAAAGAAGTTGCTATTTGTTTGATTTGGCCACATCCTTTCAAAACAAATAAACACCCCACTTCAAAAATCCTCTATCCTATATTTATTTTCTAAATTAAAACAAATCATTTCTAAATCAGAGCCTTGAAAGGAGAGAGAGTGTTGTCAGAAAACCGAACCCCCAAATCAGTTGGCCAACAGAAGCACGTGACATCTATTTTCAGATCTTCTTAGACGATGTACCCCGTGACCTTGCCAATTTCTCTTACCGGCTCCATGCCTCAGTATTCCCACTACCAAATGGAATGGGGCCGCAGCTTCTGCAGGCAAAGCACCTTGGGATCTGTAGATGGAAGGCTCTCTGCAGATATAATTAATGTATTAGACCCACAAAGCTCTTCTTGAGTAGAAGCGAGTTACCAATTTAAAAAGTAACAAGGTCCCACGGGGTATTTATCAGCCTCTTTTAAAATCATTGGTCTGGAATGGACCATGATAAGTCATCTAGGCCTTTCCTGCAGCCGCTGGGGCCTGCACTTGCACAGCCTGGGATGCATGCTCTCCATCCTAGCCTCCTTCTCCTGCTAAGGATGCAGTGATTCTTCCAGCAGACCGTTTGGGTTTGCAAAAGAAACTTATTTTTTTAACCTCCTACTGGGTTACTGGCTTCTCCTTTTGTGGTAGTGTGATAGTGATTTTGTTTGTCATATATAAGATGAAAACAATGCTTCAAACCATCCTGGGCCCCAGCCTCCAGAAATCCTGGATACAGTGGCATCATCTAACCATGGGTAGGTGTGCTCTGAAGAGGGCCAATACCCTTTCCAAGTTCAAGTCCCTCAGTCTATCTGCCCCCTCAGTTATAACTGAGAAGAATCCAGTGCCCAAGGTAATTAAGTTTGTCCCTTATCCATTTGCCATAGGATGAGCTCAGACCTTTAGCCTCTCCACTTAGGAAGCTCCGGGGAAAATTTCATTATACATAAGCTTGGACCTTTCCT